AAGTTATGATTTTTGTAATGGATAACATATGTGGTAAAAATATACAAAATGTAGATATCAAAGAATTATCAATAATTTATCAAGAATGAAATAAAATGTATATTATTAGTAGATATGAGGAGTTCTTTGAAAGCGATTTAAAAAAATTTGAGGTATAAAATAGTTGTTTATATAACTATGTTATAAAATTTTTAAAATATATATTATAATAGGAATCTATAAATTCTTAAGCATGAAAATTTGTAAAAACTTTTAAAAGATTTTTAGTTTCACAATTAAAACTTGCAAAATTACATTCATGAATATATTACATAGTCCTATCTATTTGAAAATATGGAGTTATAAATGGATTTACTTCAGATATCTATGAAAGTCTTTACAAAGAATTGCATATAGTCATAATATGACATAACTTCTTGAAATTTGTATTATATAAGGTCATTAAAGTTCTTTCTTTTTTATTAATATTAAATAAAAACAAAAAAATGCATAACATATTTCAACAAATGATTTCAGGTTCAGGCTCTAGAAAATGACAAGGAAGTACTTCGAAGCTCTTCAAAAAACTCAAGAGTATTCCCAATACACCAGATCAAGCTGAAGAATGAAGATCATTACCTCATGCCAAAACGGAAACAGAGCTGACCCAGAAGCAATTAAGATCTCCCAGTTATTTTCTAGAGTCTTCGTCTACTAGGAGGCAGCCCAAAGAATCTTTAGGTATATTAAAAAAAATATAACTATTTAAATAAATACCAATTTGTATATTATTTCTAATATAGTAATCGAGAGACTTTTGGAGTGCCACAAAAGTCTTCACAAAAAATTGATCAGTTATTAGAACATTAAAAAACTATCGAAGATAAAGTTACCTGCCTAGAAAATGAAATTTATATGAGTCAACATTTAATCACCAAATAGGATTTTATTGAGGCAAGGTTTAATTTTTTAATCTTCGAAGAACTTTAATAACATTTTAAATGCTATAATAGCGTGCAATCAAGAGTATCACGAAAGAAGTCTTTTTTGAAAAATATACACAAATCCCGAAGATTTTCGTCATCATACAAAGAAATATTTTTAACGAAAACCTTCAGAGTTCTTTGAAGGCCTCACAAAAAAATATTGGAAGATGTATTATGAAAAGTATATTCATCAAGTGGTAATTATTGCAGTTATTAATAATATAAATAAATTTATTAGCAATATTATTTATTTAATAGCTTATGTGACAACACAGATCACTTCAAGGGACCACAGCTTCAAAAATTCGGGATGCCATGTTTTCAGTCTTCAGTGAAAACTCCCTGGATACAATCAATATAAATGCAACCGCTACTGAAATTACAGCCTGGAAAAATTCGCAAAAAACCTAGGAGTGCTTCAAAAATCTTCATGTCTGTCTTAGTAGGGAAAATTAAAGTGTGATGGCACGCATTCTCGAAAAAGTTTGATCAAAAGAGGATGCCTTCAAGGAACAAGTTGCATTTGCTATTGCAATATGCCAAACAATTCTAAATCCATATAATGAAAGTATTTTAATTAATGAAGTATTAATTAAAAGCAAAATAGAAAAAAATAAGATAAGTTTTAAAATTCTTTGAAGTTTTATAAAGTTTTTTGTTTACTAATAAAATATTTTAGGAAAAAATTATAAAGAAAATCGAATTTACAGAAGAGAATTCAAGCAATAAAGATTAAAAAATATATGAACATAAAGATATTGAATTTCAAAGCACTTTGGAGGAAGTAGAAAATGATGAAAGTAATCTGGGATTGCAATTAAAAAATGTAGAAATAGAAAGGTCTATTTTGACAATAAGTAATGTAAATATAATTGATTAATAAAAATATGTAAAAAAAGTATTTTTCAATAAATAAATTTTTAAAAATAAATATTTTAATAATAATGCAAAATTATTTTATTATAATTTAATACATTTGAAAATCTTCAGAGTTTTATATATAAATCTCCGCTCCAGAGATTTCTAATAATGATGGAGTGCCTCTAGAGTTTTACGTCCAAAAATCTCCGGAGATCTTTGTCAAAAAAATTTCTTGATAATAGCTTGGATCATGATAAAGAAAGACAAGATAGTTAAACAGTTCTTAGCAGAAGCATTCACATAGCCATAGCAACCAGAGCTAAAATACTAGCTATTTTCACTACATTATATACAGCCCCCCAAAATACAACAGTTATAATTTATACTAATTGCAACACTGCAGTCAAAGTATGGAAATCCATTTGTTCACAAATAGAGATATCCACAAAAAAATAAACAAAAATCACTAACTGGCCACTTTGGAATAAGATCAAGGACTTAGTAAAGAAGAAAGGCCTGAATTTGAAAATCCTAAAAGTCAAAGCCCACAGAATCAACAGATTTAACAATCAAATAGACTTACTTGCCAAACAGGCCAGATAGAAGAATCCAATAACTTGGCATCAGTTACCAAAGCTAGGAAGAGTTCTCACGATAGCAGCATGGAAAGAATACACAATAGAAATTGATACCAGAGATTTCATCAAGATGTTCAATAAGAAAAAAACTAGACTAGACTGAACAACACAGAAACAAATTCAAGATCTCTGAATCCAAAATAATAAAATGATAGACTGGCTGACTTTTTAGAACCAGTTCAATCCAACCAATACCTTCGATACTTTTTTCAAAATCAACAAAGACAAAATCTTTCTAACTAACTTAACTCACAATGAACTTCCAGTCCTACAAATACTTAAGAAGAGAAAATCAGATATATATATCACAACCACTTGCCCAATATGTGAACTTCAAGAAGAGATACTAGGACATCTTTTTGAATGACTAGTCACTAGGAAAACTTAGAAGAACTTATGGAGGAAGGCAAACAAAAAGATCAATAAACTTATTGGTAAAGAAATAAAAGATAAGAAAGAAGTTCAACCTAAGAAAAGTGACTGGATAGACAAATAGTTAGAAGAAATCCAAAAATCCAATAGGAATCTTATCAATACTATCTGTGGATATATGGAAGAAAGCAAGACTATCTCCTTGAAGAAGTACCTCAAAGAGTAGCTCAAGATCCCATCAGCAAATACACAAGGTATAATTGATAAACTCTATCAAAAGATGAGAGCAAATTTTAAAAAGGAGATCTGAAATACTTGCTGTACCCAAGTGATAGAATGAAAAAAGAAGCAAAACATTATAGAAGAGGACAAAAGAAACAAGAGGTCCAAGTCTAGATCTGACGAACAAACTAAACAGGAACAAAAAAAAATGTCATTATTTCCAAAGGATTCAAGCCTAGAAGGTATCAAAGAAATAGAAGAAAAGAAGTATATGGTGATTATTAAGGATTGGATCTATCACAAAATAAAGTGATTTGATTTTTAACTGTAGACAGAACTTAAAATGATCTACAGTAATGACCTATAGGCAATGGATTTACTAATTAGAGAAAATATTTCAAATTAGTAAAGGAGTGAAATATCATTCCTTAGGTTGCATTTAGAGAAATAACTTTTTGACGATGAGTGAGTCAATATGTGAAAGTCAAAAATTTTGTAAATACTTAACATATATACAATAAAGACATGTCATGTTGACCTAACTGTGGGTTAAAAAAAAAAAAAAAAAAAAAAAAAAAACTGCAAGTAATAATGTTAGTAGCTGAAAGTATATTTAATGAATTATTAATAGAGCAAAAATTACCTTAGAATTAATTAACTAAAATAATTAAATTTTTAACCTAACAAAAAAAAAGAAGGAATCTATATAAATTCAATTTAAATACAGTATTAATGAATCCGATTGTTTTTTTTATACAAAATAAGATGCTAATTTTCACGTGGAGTAAACATCAATCGCCGCTTTCGTAGAAGAATGGTCACGATAATAGTGATCGACATGACATCAAGGTATGATGTTACGTAAATATTCGATAATTTTTGAATTGAACGCGGAGTTCTCCTTTCCACTCGTCTCGTTATGTTTGTTTTCAAAAAGTTGGGAAATCTCATTTGGGGTAAGAGACGGGAACGTTCCGTTTTCTTTTTGAGCGAGTTCTAAATTGCCGCCACAATAGTAACAAACACATTGAATTCAATGGCGCTGCAATAGGCAACCCAAATACCCCAGACCTCATTCATATAGAAGAAGGTGAACTTTATCTCCTTAGACCCGACAGTCCAAGGGGAAACAGGGAGTGCCTGTACGTACCAAAGTATTGATATACGTTTTGAAATTCAAGAACTTTTGGATATAAGGCGTGATTGACGTTGAAGTGAATATGGTTGTTTGTTAGTTATCATAATGCAAGAGCTACTGTGAGACGGACGGGAACTGATTGGCAATATCAACTTGTTGTCACCCGGGTTTTCGAGGAGGGCGAGGAATCGAGTAGTGACGAGGAAGAAAAGGAAGAGGAAGAGGAAGGAGTGGAGGAGGAGGAGGAAGGAGACGGGGAAGAGATCGAAAGTAAATATTTGTGCAATCTTTAATTGTTAACTTGCCGAGATTACCGGATTGTTAATCTAACATATATCGATCATTTTTCGAGACGAATATGAGAAAGTTTTTCTTATCGATGAGTCTCTCGAATTTAGAAGGGGCCAATTTGAAGGATTCACCACATTCACCTGGAAGGATTTGACCGGAGTGGGTGTTACATTTTTGCCGTGATCGATCATGAATCATTTGCCCGGCACGGAAACGGGAATTTGTTGAATCTAATTTTATACTTTATTGTTTGAAAAAGGAAACCGACGATTTGCTTGAATTTGTATGTGGCGTAAAAACTACCGCACACACTGCCAATGCCTTTGAATATACAATATACAATTGTATGTATGAACGGAAATTTCAGAAATCATATGAGGAGGCCAGCGAACATGAAATCCAAAGCTTTGTATATGTGTAAGACTATTCCCTTATTCTAATCCCTATAGATAGGTTTTTCCTAGAATTCCGATTTATCTTCTCCGTTCGTGTCACGTCACTAGACCACAAAAAATGAAAAACGAGGCATCGGATAAAACTCCTCCATCAACTCCCGGACGCGAAAAATCGCCGTCCGTATCGGCCACCACAACTCCACCTAATAATAAGGATACCTCAGATCCCTCTACACCCAAGAAACGTACCGTAGACTCGGATCTCCCTGCTTCTTCAAACAAGGTTGAAGATATTGTGTCAATGGAAGTCGAACTACATATTTTTAATCCACCTACTGGAGATTTTGTATTAAGGGCATCAAATGTTACAGCGAGAATTATAGAGGGGGGAAGATTTGAATGTACGAGTGCTTAGTTTTATAAATTCTTTCGCGAATCATTTTTTTCATGTTCATCTCATCACTACAAACCCTAGACTGGCTGATCGTCGATGAGGGTCCCACAAGGCACATTGGTCAGCGAATCGAGCCTAGGATGAATCCCGTGTTTAATTCGGTAAGAGTTTCAGAACACCCTTCTTTGACATGTTCCACAACCACATCCAATTAATGCTCTTTATAACAGACCCATCAATGCCTCATATGGTGTTACTTCTCTGGTAACGAGACTACGAGAAAGATTTTTAGGCTGAACGTTTGAAATTCGATTAAATCAATTGTTCTTGCTCCTACAGACTCGGGTCAAATATTTTCCTTCTTGATTCGTTTTCGTAATAAGGAAGATGAATATAATTTCAAAAGGCAATATACAATTTGCATGTATGAAACACTTAATGAGACGAGAGCAAAGGTCAACTCGAATTTATCAGTTTGTTCGAATATCCTAAATTCGCGATGATTGTATAGCTCAATTCTCTTCTGATATTCAACTTCAGGAAGACGATCGAGAATATATAATGAATGCTTACCAAGAGGATGTAGATATGCCAGATGCCGATGCATCCGATCAAGAAGAGACAGAAGAAGGTGTGGCTTCTTTCCGTCTTTTCAGCATCACGAGGATGTATCGATGAAGTAACTCGTTTTTTTTTTATTACAGAAATTGAATCTTCGGATGAAGAAAACTCCGATGATGACAATGACGTTCACGATGATGGTGCAAATAATTCTGATGATGTCAACAAACAACTCCTTGTCGGGTATAAACATGATAGATCATTTGTCCTGAAGGGTAACAATATCGGTGTCTTCAAACACACGAATGACGATCGTTTAGAATTTGCAACAAATATCAGCGAAATAAAGAAGCCTAGCGGAGGAAGATTCATTCCCGAGAAAGTTGGTTTCTTGTGTGCATTTTCGTCATTTAACACCAAGAGTTGTTTGTTAAACGTGAGATTTTTGCATCTAGGGGATGTTACACGAAGAAGACTCTTCTATTATTTTACTCGATCCTCAGGATGAAAATAGTTTGTTCAAAATGGATTTGGAATATGGCAAGGTGGTGGAAGAGTGGAAGGTTCACGATATTATTCCTGTGTCAAATATATTCCCTGGGAGCAAATATGCGCAAACAACCGCCGAAAAAACTTTTATCGGGATGTCACATAATTCACTGTATCGAATCGATCCTCGGTTATCAGGTCAGAAGATGATCGATTCTCAACTTAAGCAATACGTGACCAAGAACAATTTTACTTGCGGTGTGACGGACGAAAAAGGTCACATAGCTGTGGGAAGCGAGAAGGGGGATGTCAAATTGTTTGACACTTTAGGAAAAAATGCAAAGACCAATTTACCCGCTCTCGGTAGTGGCATCAAAGGCATCGATGTGACTGCTGACGGTAAATGGATTATCGCCACCACCGCTCGTTACCTATTACTTCTGAACACAGAAATCAAAACCGATCCGAATAAACCGCTAGGATTTGAAAAGAGTTTTCCCAAAAATCAAAAGGTGTGTGGTTAATCCTTTTTGCGGTGAACAACAAACATGGTATTCATTCACACCTTTACTCATATTTGACGCGTTTAGCCTATTCCCCGACGGTTGCAATTGCGTCCGGAACACTTGTCAATGATGGAGGAACAGGTAAGTGCATAATTAAGGGTGACGGCCCCTGACCATTAAGATACAAAATTTTCAAATAAACTGATTCAATCATTCTAGGTCAACTTTACGCCAGCCAGATTCAACACCGTAGATTCGGGATTGGAGAAGACTATAGTAACCAGGTTAGTATTTGTAAGAGGATTTTTACTTGCCATCGATCGTTAACAACGGTTGCTGACCGAAACTGTCTTCATCCTAGTACTGGACCATTTGTAGTTACGTGGAACTTTAGAAAAGTAAAGCAGGGAAATCTCTACGATTATCAAATTAAACGGTATTCCGATAATATCGTTGCCGATAATTTCCGTTTCGGACAGGATCGATCGATTGTCGTGACGTTACCACACGATGGTGGGTACCCCATACTATTAAATTCAATCTAACGGAACGGATTTATTGATATTATTTGAATTTCTCGTTATAGTCACGTTAACGAAAAAGGCGCATCTGTCGGCGCCGACTGAGGCCGTGCTTTCTCCATCCAAGGTGATAATAGGTTTCTGTATTTCATTATATTTCTTCACTTATGAGCGATTCCTTAACAAACCCTTCAATTAAAATCCAGTATTCAAGGAGATCGCCCAATAATATAATCAAGTCAAGGCGATGATCTTTTGCTTGCCAAATGCAATTACAAGCTGCCTTATTTTTTTCGTTTACATTTCAACAATTATCGGTCGATGCATGATCTTCATCGACAACATTTGTCAAGTCAGTTTGGCGTAAAATAAAGTTTAATTATTTACATCAAAAATTGAATCTTCGAATACGATTGAAATACATTGGTCCGGATTATTTTCAAATTCATGTTTATTGTCAACGATCAAAGAGAACTTGGATAGATTTACTAGATTATGATGAAAAATGGAGATACAGTATATTTAAGTACCAGTGGATTAACTTCGAGGAGATACCGCATGACTAAACACCCACAAGACATGACTCTATATTAATGTCAGCGAGGCGGTCAAAACTTTCGAAATCAGTTTCACATACACGAGGACGGACTTAATAATGTGATCGGAGTAATAAAAACAGTGACATAATTATCATAATATTCGTTGTCATTCGACGCGTCGAACGCGGGATCCGATCGTGAACGTCAGGTCACAAACATATTTATGGTTCCTGGAACATGCTTTCGTGAAATGCGTTGCAGTAAAAAAAAAAAAAAAAAAAAGAGAGAGAGAGAAAATAGTAAATTACTATTACCAAGGGTTATGCTAATGTATCTGAGGAATATAAAATTCGATTTATGTTCAGATCCTGAACGTCTTATCTTGAGGACAATTGTTAGGACGACATGTTTGTTGCACAGCACGTAAATTGTTGTGGGGATCAGGTAAACTGCCTTAATCTAACTTAACTTGCACAATTTTAAAGTTGCGAATCCGATCGCGAAGGTGTCGCAATTTGGTCTCTTTCTCCTTCTTTAATTTCAAAACATCGCAGTCCGTAAATATCAAAAAAACATTAAGACAACTGCACTTTGATTTTTGGGGGAGAGTGTACAAAATTCAAGAAACTTCGTTTTCCAACGTCGGCACTTTAATCGAAAAAAAAAAAGCTATATACGTGCGTAAGTTTAAAAGTTTGACATGTTGTACGAGATTCTAACTTGTTATTGTGACCAATAATGTTTGGTATAAATGGTACGACTTTCGCGAATCCATAATTATTAACACGAAAAGTCATGATCCATGGAATTTAAAGTTTATCGTTGTAAATAATGGATAAATCGCAAGCGACTAATACTATGTCGGACTCTCACCAGCAATCGAACTCCCAACAAGGTTCCGATTCTCGTCCTCCGCCGCAGAGTCAACCACCACAGCCGCACAGGACCCCACCGCCATCCCAACCACCTCAGTCTCACCGTCCGCCACGGTATCGTTCTCACGAGCAGACAAAAATCGATAGGCTATACACACCGCAACTCAAGTTTACAAACTTTTCCGCGCAAGCGCCGATAGTAACAAAATATGTAACTTCGAGGTTCTTGAGACATGATGTTTCTTACTTTAGGAGGGAGGCATCAAAAAAGGAAGTGAGTAAGGAGAAAGAAAGAGAGAAGGAAAAGGTAAAGGAAAGAGTGAAAGTGAGTGAGGAGGAGGAAATGGACGAGGAGGATGAAGACGACGAAGAAATGTCAACCGAAGAGGAGGTTGAGGTATTGTAATGCTCGCCATCGATGAGAATTTTTCTCTTACCTCTTTGGCGATTGACACGTAATCTATTATCATTATTCGCTCGCATTCGCGCACATCAGTCAGAGCAAGAAGGATCAAAGGTTATAGTGATCCATCCCGGATCAAAGTATCTTAGAATCGGGTATGCTTCTGAAGCTTTCCCTTATGTGGTTCCTCATGTGATCGCGCGGAAGATGAGAATCGAGAATCAAGTGGAAAAAGACAAAATGAACGTCGATAACAATGAGGAAGTGAAGGAAAAAAATGAAGATGGGAAAGACCCGCAAGAGAAGGAAATCAAGGATTTAACGGACGAGAATATTGCTCCAAAATCGGAATCACCAGAGGATTGGTCAGGAGGCTCTGCGACCGAAGAAGTAGAGGAGGAAGATGAGGTATATGTCTTCCACCATAACTTCCCTTTCTTTCTATAAACACCGACTCACATATATTTTTCATTTTCGCATCTTCAGGAACAATTTAAAAACGTGGTGAACGAGATAAAGAAAGAGTTGAAGGAGAGGATGAAGAATGCAAAACGTCGACCGGTGGCAAATGCGCAAACGCAAGTTTTGTCGTTTAACAAGGCGTCTCGCCCGGAAATAATTGCCGATCATAATGATCCTTATAAGGTTGACTGGACGATGATCGAAGAGGATGCTGAATACTATGTTGGAGAAAAGGTAAATGTCATCAATAACATCACCACCTTTTCAGGTGTAGCCCTCAATCTCTTCACGCATAATGAAAAAAATCGCATGTGTAGGCGCTTCGGCTTTCCGATCCAGAAAGCACCTTCAAATTATTCTATCCAATACAACACGGTGAGTTTAACACCAGGGATTACAATTCCATAAAAGCGGTAGTCGGAGATTTAGAAACTATTTGGACCGAGACGATTCAAGAAAAACTTGAAATACCATTGAAGAATTTTAAGGTAGCCTGTAATGGCAAACATCCTGTTTGATGTTTTAACATTTCCTTTTGTTTTTTCACTTTTTAAACTCCGTTATAAAACAAGGCATACTCCGTTATTCTTGTTATACCCGACATATACAATCGCCTCTACGTGACAGAAATGATAACGATGTTGCTCCGATATTTGGAATTTCAACGTGTCTTCGTAGCACAAGAGTCGGTCTGCGTTAGCTTCGGTGCCGGCATATCAGTTGCATGTACTGTGGACGTCGGAGCTCAAACAACCACCATCACCTGTGTGGAGGACGGGATGTGCATTCCGGATTCGAGGTGACGATTTCTTTTATGCCTAAGTAAGATGTGTTGTGATCTTTAGTGGCGCTGTCTGAAGTTTCGCGTCCATAGGATATGCCTCCATTACGGCGGCGATGACATAACATCATTTTTCATAAGACTACTGCGAAAGAGTAAATTCCCGTATGTTGAGATGGACTTGAATCGCATGTACGACTGGATGCTCGCGGAAGAGATGAAGGAGAAATTTTGCACGTTAGACGAGGTATTGTCAATTGGCCAATATATTGATATGAGCTTTAATTCGTGAGAGGCGTTCACGCCATATCATAATTGTTTTCTTTATTACAAGGTAAATCTGGCGATACAGTTAAATGAGTTCTACGTGAGAGCCCCCAATAAGCCAACACTCAAGTATCAAATTAGAACCTATGATGACTCCATTATAGCACCTATGGTAACGAATCTTTTCATTGGAACTTTGTTCATTTACTTTCTCATTAAATTACTTTTTAAACTTCATCTTTATATACAAAAGTGCCTCTTCTACCCTCACCTAATCAATTTCCACAAGAAAATGATGGAATTTCCCCCCAAATTTGCGTCATACGTGGTGGACGACATAACCGAAGGCATGGTGGCATCCACTGGAGGGGTAAATGTCACTAAACTTGATGTTCTAACTTTAATGACAAAACCTTTCTTACTCAGTCGCGTACCATTTGAATAGCCACCAACAGGAATTGTGGTGCAAAAACCGAAATTGTCAGTCACCACTCAAGTGTCACAAGCCAAACCATCTTTCCCGTCACCTTCACCCCAACAACGCGATAGTCCCGGCCCGACGACACCTCTGAGAATTGAAAATTCGGCTGCACCCAACAACAGATCTTCCCCTCCGTCCGCTGTTACCTCGTCGTTGACGCGCATTCATAATGCCTTCCTTATAGACCCGATATCAACCCTCCCGCTCGACGATGCCATAATCCAGAGTATCAATTCAGCAGCCACCGAAGAGAGGGCAAAAAAATTTTACGCCAGTATACTCATGGTCGGCGGTGGTGGACTCATCCCGGGAATTCACAAGATGTTGGAGGACCGGTATGTAGATGTGGTAGTATTTTTTCAGTTTGACCAAAATCATAGTCTAATTAAGTTTCACTTGTGAATCGGTAAAAGCTTGTCCCAACGATCCATACAAGTCACGGACAAATTTGAAGTGCTCGGGTCACCGCGGGATTTGGACCCAAGATTATTGGCCTGGAAAGGTGGATCGGTGATGAGCAAGTTGGAAATCGTTAATGAATTGTGGATAAACTCTAATGAATGGGAGGAGTTGGGGGTGAGATGTCTAAGGGAAAAAGCTTTATTTGTTTGGTAGACTTTGACTGGGTGGGTAAATAAGCTAGAAATTTTGTTCACGTCGATTCAACGGAGTGATCTTGTACATTGTAATTTTACACATGATAAAAAAAAAAAAGCGAATCTTTATGTAAATATAGAGTGTGACGTTAGACATTGAATCGCCGAAAAGATGGTCCCGCATTTAACAAGACAGAATGGTGCATCAAATTTTACACGTACAACATATAGAATACAATTAATTATCGAGATTCACGTATGAAAGAATTGTTATATAATCAAAATTCACTTTAAAACCTTTATAGCGTACTCATCGCAAATAAAGAACATTTAATCTGCAGAGGCATTAAAAATTTCCGACCAATCGATAATCTTCATCGTCGTTTCTGTCTCTTCATATTTCTCTTGGCCTTCTGAAACTTGTTTTTTCTTTTTTTGTCCTGTGACAAGTCGGTCATCAGTCCATCAAATAATTCATTAGCCTGGTGTGCGTCACGTGATCCGTCGCCATCATCATCGTCAGAACTTCGTTGACCACGATGTCCCTCCTTACGGGCATTCCTTCTTACAAGGATATTGGTTCGTTGTTTCTCAAAAGCTTCTGTGTCATCTTGTATGGCCGTCAAACTGCCAAAGTCGTTTAGATTCTATGAATTTCGTTTTTCATATAAATTGATGATCGTGTGAATGAAAATAATAAACATAGAACACGCTTAATAGGCATGTACCTCAAATTCATCTTCGAATTTTGTCCGGTCCCTGATTTTCTGAAGTTCCTTCTTTGACATAGGTAACCTGATGAAATTCTCCTCCTCGTAGCGCCTACGTTCCTCAAGCTCTTTTTCCAATCTTTCATCAGCCACTGTTCCTCCGTGTACACCACCAATTATGTCCACTTCTTCCGGTCTATCATCGTATTCTGCGATGAGATCCTTCATTATACGAGACTTGGAGGCTCTTGCCAGCATGCGCGACTGTTCCTTTTCCGATTTGAAACGGTTTCCTATGCAAAGGAATCAAGGTGAGAAATGATGTTCAAATATAATAATGTTAACAATTCAAAGGAATACCTTTGTTTTCATCGAAATGCATTGGTGCAAACTTGGGCGCCTTATATATTCCAGTGTCATCTTCACCTATAATATTCGACAAGAGTTATTCTCCATGATTTTTTTTTTTTTTTTTTTTTTTTTTTTTTTTTTTTTTTTAACGTGTTAACAATAATCTCCATGAGTTTTCAAGCACCTTTCTCTCTTTTCTCTTCGGATTCTGATATGAGGTTCTGTGGATTGGGCTTGAAGGACAGGGGGTCGGCCGCTGAGAATTAAAAACGACGGTTAATACCGTGAACCCAATTTCAAACATCATGAAGGTCCACCAGCTCACCGCTACTCGTCAAATCGACTTTGTCATTGTCCTCCTCCATGACGGTGGCCCTTATCAATTTATCGATTTGATATTTTAATTTTTGCTCAATGGGCTTAATCTTCTCCAAGACAATTCTTAATTCCACTAAATTTAAGATGACTGGGTGATCAACTATTGATTTTCCTTGTAACTTCATGTGAATTAGAAATGCCAAGTTCGTTATGTATTGAAGGAGAGTATGGTATTTGACGTCGAGTATTGATATTCCATGATTGGTTTTCGTTTGGTGTTCTTTAACTCTAGTCGGCAATGGAGAGTAATGCTTTAATCAGTTTCTTCTCGAGTGCAATCTAGGACGGAGCGAGGGTATTTACTTGCTCGTAGTGACGCTAATTTGATCCTTTATTTCTTTCACCTTGCCCTTTAATTCCTTTAATAGATTAAGAAATTCGGGAATTTCATTCGAAACATTGGTTTCGGAGGTCCTTGAGCCGTCCGTTTGGCATAATTGGTCCCCGGGGTCACTGCCAGCTGTGTCTATGTGAACTTCGGGAGCACTCATGTCGACGCTATCCATTAGATT